CATGATTTTTTTTTATTAACTGAAGGAAAAGCTTTAATAGGTTTAGATTTAGGCTAAACTGTGGCCACACAATATGGATGTATCATAAAAAGAGGTGGATTTTCTTTTCTTTTCTTTTTTTTTTTTCCAGATGAAAAAGGTCCCCTGACCTTGGAAGACAGCAGTACGACGGAGCCAATTCTCTCTCATGAAATCTGCTCTTACAATCGATATCCAAAAGTGGGGCATTTTTTAACTCTGGTAATTTCAACTAGGAAAATACTTCCATGCATTTTAGTGTTTTATGGAGTAGTGACGGCTGTTAAATCCTACCTGGACATGCTTGAAGGTAGCATTTCCTTACCTCTTCTGGAAGACAGAGACCTAACAAGTAGAAACAAGTTTTCTTTCTTGTATAGGTACAGTTTTTCTAACCTACTGCGCAAATGTTATATGTTATATATATCATATTACAAATGTTGCCATTTTCCCTTTCGGTCATGTTTATTTTAATATATTTCTCATTTTCCACTGTTAGAACATCAAAGCACTAAAAATAAGGAACACCAACATTCAACAGTGCAGTAGAAATGACTTTTAATCAATACATGTAAGCCTTAACAGTTAGTTAGACATTTCACCCACCTTAACAATTCTTGCTTTCTATGCACAATATTACATGCTTTTTCCTAAGCACAGGCATGAGATGAAGGACTCAAAAATTCTCTAGCAAGGAAAACTTTGATAAAGCATGAACAGAACAGGGAACATTTATACAAGCAAGACACAGTAAGTCCGTAAGACCTCAGGACCTAAAGGATTTGGCCAAAGTAATTGCCAGGCCACTCTGTTATATTCAAAAGGCAAACTGAAAGAGCCTTCTGAAGATAGCAAGCAAACACCAATACTGCCTTCAAGAGGAGCAAGATCTAGAGGACTACAGACCTGTCAACCACACCTTATTCCCTAAGGTGAGGTGGTGGAGTGCCTTGTCGGGAAATCAGTTCCAGACCTACTAAGGACAAGAGCCCAACTGCAAGTAATCAACATGGATTTATGAAAAGGAAGTCCTGCACAGCCAACCTGTTAGCCTTCTACAATGAGGTGACTAGCTGGGTAGACAAGGAGAGAAAAGTGGATGTTGTCTGCACTGACTTTAACAAGGCTTTCAACTCTCCCATAATAACCTCGTAGATATAATGATGAAAAATACATGAGAGGATTGAAAATTAGCTGAATTTCAAAGCTCAAATTGTTGCCATCAACAGCACAAATTCCTGCTGGAAGACAGTCTACTACAAGTGTCCCACAAGGGTGTACACCACAGCCAGCAACTGAATGTTGTTATTAATGACCAGGAGGATTGGATAGAGCATATTCTCAGCAGTTCGGAGGTAATACAACGTAAGAAAGAGTAGCTGATAAACTAGGTAGTTTTGCAGCCACTCAGAGACCTTAAAAGAACACTAAACCTCATCAAAGTCAACAAGGAGCAATGCCAAACCCTGCATGCAGCAAGAATAATCCCAGGCACCCCATATATAAACTGGAGTCAAAAAGCTGGAAAGTAACTCTACGAAGAGGATCTAGGGTCCTGGTAGATGATAACTTGACCATAAGCCAGCAAAAAGCTTTGAGGCAAAGAAGCCCAACAACATCCTGGTCAGCATTAGGAAAAGCAGTGCCAGCAGGTCAAGGGAGGTGAGCCTTCCTCACTGTGCAATACTGGTGAGGCAGGATCTGGGATCCTTTGCCCAGTGCTGGGCTGTCTGGGATAAGATATACATGGACTTACTGGAGCAGTTCTACTAAAAAGCTACTTAAATGACTAAGAGACTGGAGCATATGTCATACTGGGAGAGGATGAGGGAGAAGGGGCTGTTAAACCTAGAGGACAGAAGGTTGAGGAGAGCATATTAGCAGTGCACATAAAAATCTGACGGGAGGAAGGAATAAATAAAGATGGAGCCAGACTCTTTTAGTGGTCCCTAGTGACACGACAAGAACCAATGGGCACAAACTGAAAAACATAAAATTCTACTTCAAGATAATTAAAAATAAAAAAATAATTTAAAAAACCCTTGTTTATTGTGAGAGTGGCCAAACAGTGGAACAGGTCTAATCAAAATCTCTCTGGAATTTCCATTCTTAAGGACACTTTAAGCCCAAGCAAATGTGGCCCTTAGCAGCATTCTCTGGTTGAGAGAATGCTCTGAACAGTTGTTAAGCTAAATGATGTCCAGACATCCTTTCTAATTTCAACTACTGCAAGATTGCTTCCTTTTCTTATGTCAGAGTTAATATTCACAGTATATTTTTAAATTTAATTTTTAATATTTTATTTCCAGTGTATGAGCTTGAAGAATGAGCATTATGGGTAGATACACAATGAACTTCTTTGACAGTTCTAGAGTACAGAACAATCCATCAGAAATGAAAAAAAGGGATCAAGAAACAAAAAAGATCATAGGTTAAAAGCATACACTAGTGAGCAGTAACCTGAAACCTATTGCAGAATTGCATCTAGCAGCATTATCTTTTCTGTTCTCAACATTCTACTCAGAACAGAAAATATTTTCCTCACTGACTTAATTAGAGTGGAGGTGAGAGATACAGCAGCAAACAGGAACGGTGCTGTCACTCTAGACAACATGCCTTCTGCTATCAGACATCACATTCTTGAAGAACAGGATTTCCCTTTCCACTGGAGACACTTCAAGTCTCAGAATTTTAATACTAAACATTAAACTAGTGTGCTGTTTCTACACAGAATTGCTCAATCTTGCCTTTTTTCTTTTTGTCAAAATCACATTACAAATATTCTTATCCTTCAAAATGGATTGTTTTTTTTTCTTGCAAGTTGGCTAGTTAGTTCATGGGAATAGAAGTATGAATACTTTAAGCGTAGTCTTTCATGCTCACTGTCCAACGATAGTATTTCTCTGCACTAGGACAACTCTCCCTTATGTATATGGGCATAAGAAATCAGATTCCAGTTCAACACGAAACTCCGTCAGCAATATTCTACATTTCAGACTATGATATTCTACGATTTTTTTGAAAAATACCTCTTACATACTGTCTTTCCTGGAAGTTAATCACTGCCAAAAAGTGGGCTTTACTGGTAATCCTGGAAGACATGATGGCTCACTAATTCCTCCACCCAACCTTTGAGGAAGGTGTTTATGACTGTTTACTGTGTGCCAAGGCATGTATTCTGTGCATATGCAGAAAAGCTACTTCCCTAAAATGAAAACCACATGTGTCTTCAAGTCTAAGCTGGGCTCTTTGAGGACTGAGTTCAGCACTAGCACATGTAAGTGAAGCAAGTAAGAGAATTCTGCCACCACAGCATCAGAATATCTGGACATCATTACTGCACTGTTACAAAAACTTTAGAAGTCAGGTATTTTGAATTTTCAAGTGTCTAAATAAGAGTCCCAAAAGAAAACTGATCCCTTTGAAAAGATTAACTTTTAAATATTCAGGAAAACAACAACAATCTAGAAAGAAAGAAAAAAAAAATATAAAAAAAATGTCTTGGAGCAAAGCAGCAAATTTCATAATAATTATTTGACAGACGACAAGGAAAATATTTATATTCTTCCATCATTTACTGAGTTTTATTTAATAATCAGACTTAGCTCCACAGAACTGATTTAGGCAGTAATCACCCTAAAACAACTTGTGCACCAGAAGATCAAATAAATACTGTCGAAGACATCAGTCAAGTAGCCACTTGGTCATTCTGGGGATTTCAGCACATTCACACTTCCTGGCATATTTACCCAGCTTTAAGAAAAGTAGAAAAACAAACATATTTAAAGGCCACTGTGTCTTCGAGTCTTACAGGAATGCACAGATCCCAGGCTGTACTTCCAAAACTAACTGCTATTTATTTTAAATTATCTATCTATTATTTTAAATTAACTATCTCAATGTAACAGTAGCTTTCACTTCAACAGTGAGATATTTGGATCACTAAACAGACAGCATAAAAAAAAAAAAAAAAAACCTGCAATCTAACTGCATTTTCTTAAAACAGACTATTCACCCACAAGTAAGGAATATTTTCCTAAAGATTCTGTCAATCATTAAATGAAACTGCTAGCTGAGTAAAGTAGTAAATTCCTGAAGCCTCCCAAATAGAGATGCACCCTGATATTCTTGCTTCTCAATGAGTGTAATCAACCTTTTCATAAAATCTACATTTCATTTTAAAATTACTGCTTACGTTTCTTGATTAGATACATACAGCAGCACAACCAATCACTCTTGTACTAGTGAAGCTATGCAGCCAGACTAACACTGACACACAATTAGCTCTGTGATCACTCCTTCCACATAGAGAATCTAAGGCAGTAACATTTAGCTTAATCCTCTTATGAGGAGTTTACAGAAAATTTAGGCCTGGATGAAATTTCTTCAAAATCCAGCTGCTGACATAGGATATACTTTTTCAACAAATTTTTTAGAAACAAATTAGCCTTGTCACAGATAGCTGAAGTACACTTTCAACAATTCATGTCCTGGAACTGGAAATGGATTTCAGGACTACTAAATACCCCTTCCAGGACATTTTATATCATAATAAAATACATAATTAACCTGATTAAAACAACCAGTTTTGTGGAGGTCTTTTTTTCTTAGTGCTTGCTTAGTAAAGCACTTGCATTTTAACTGTTTTAAAATTCCATGGTTTGAAGAGGGAAGGCTGCCAGATGAGATTATTATTTAATCAGAAAAAGAATGAAATTATTTGGAAAAGGAATTACCCCTTACTTTTCATAATATCAGAAAGATCTGACCTATTTATTCCTTCTCAGGGTGAATTAAACTATTTTAATCCAAGTAAAGGTTAGTAATATTCATCTCGCTAAGATCAAAGCATCCTTAAAACAAATTAAAGCAATGAAACACATAAGCACATCATCAAATGACTTAACGATTTTGCAACTGCTTTATAATACAAAGCATGGAGATAATATAATGACCAACATGATAAAGATGTTCCATCTTACTTGTCCAGGGCTGTACTGGTGGGCATGCTTCTACCAAATCCTCGGACACCCATCTGACAGAAGTATGGAATGCAAGACAGATTGGCAGCAATAATTGCCAGTGAATCAGACGCATTAACAAAGAAACCATTTTGGCCAAGGATCATATAGCGGTCCTGGAAAAGACAAGAAATACAGAAACCTCAAATGCCTCAAATCCTATGTTTTGGTTTTTTCTTTTAGATGAACAGTAGAAAGAGTTCTTTTGTGGTTTTGTTTTTTTTTTTTTTTTTAAATAGGCTTTGTGTTACATGTATCCCTCTTCAGGCAGAGTAAATTTACTGGCATTGTCCTGACGGATTTATAGCCTTGCTATCATACCCTCACTCCCTCCAGTAAACAAAAGCTCCTAATCAGACCCTAGCCTGAGCCTCCTACACTGTACTTCAGTAGGTCTGCTCCTGCCAGGGAATGCCTGTGTAGGAGAATCTTTCTGCCAATTGCACGCACTGTATTGTGAGTAGGAGGGTATTCTGTGTTGCGAGACCACAGAAAACAGCTTCTGTTCTTCAGAACCTTTTCATCATTGTCAAATCTTCACAAGACAGCAAGTTGTTTTTGCAATACTTTACTGATATGTTGATAACGTCACAAAAACTAAAACAAGCAGAGATTATAATTCAGTGTTTTATTCAGCTAAAAATCTCTCAATTTATGTTAGCCAAATCTCACTTTCTTAGTTACTACTTATTAGTTAGTTACTATTTAGTGACAAGTTGATGCCATCTGTACATGCTGTCCTTTCCCACGCAGAGAAACGTTACACCAGAAGAAAACAAATACAGACAAAAAAGGAGGGGAGGGGAGGAGAGGGAGAGGA